GCAGCTGATATATCTCTTGGTATGCTACCTACCAGTTCCAGAGAAAGTGATAAATACTATAGTGGTCTTTTTTTTTTCCCCTGTCTCTCAAAGAATTCTGTCTCAAGGTTTGTATTCTTGTTAGAATGTAGTGTGTAAAATATTTAAGTTTAAATTCAATCTATGTCTTTCCCCTGAGTTGGAGGCATGAATAGAATGTTCTGTCTTCTACCAAAAAAGGTGTCTTCATCAGCCTGGTAAAAATAAATCTTAACTTCTTATTCAAAATCAGAATAATTTCACATAGTGTTAATAGAATGTGCGTGTACATCCCTGTGAGCATTTATATACATATATATACTTCTACATATGTAAGTATATACTTATACCTGTACGTGCTTACATATATTACGTATTACATACATTATATTATCTTACATGTAATACATACTATATAGGTATATATAGATGTACACAGTATTAGTTCATAGATCTCACCTCTTCAGTAAAACAAAACAGACATAACAAAGCTCTGAAACACTAAAAATAATCTTAAAGGATATTCTAGACTTCTATATTCCTTTTTTGTTATTTTCCTATAACTGTCCTAATAATATTTTCTGTTTTGCCAAGAAAAGAATAGATACTTTAAGTATATGATTTTTTCATTTGTATTGTGAAGATGCAGTCACAAAAGGGATGAATGTTACCAGTAGTAGTGGTAAAGTTCTATTAGTAGGAAACAGGAAGTGTTTTTTATTTCTAACCATTCTAACCATTTCTTTTCTAATACCCTTGATAGATTAAATAAGTCAAATATTCTTATCATCTTTGTTGACATTTATTCTTTTGGTTGAATTACTGATTCTTTTAGTTTTTCTGATAAGTAGGTGAAATGGTTGCGTGATTTAGCAAATAGAGTTGAAGGAATAGATCAAACTGTCAGCCTGTCAAATATAAAGACTTCAAGGCTTGTAAGATGTACCTTGTATTTCTCATTTTCCATTGTCCAGAAAAATATGAACATAGTCCAGCCATTCCCGACACTTACATTGTAAGTACCAGAACTCTGGTCATAAGATGGATGAGAGGCAGGAATTGCAGGGAGAGCTGAAGCAATTCCAGTAAATGTTGTATGTTTTGTCTTTAAAAAATATTCACCGGATATTTGGAATCAGCACTTCCAGAGGAAAGCAACAGTAGAAATGGGAATAAATATTGTAAAAGACTGGGAATTTTTGTATAATATTTGTTCCTCTCTTAGAATAGGCATGCGTAATTTGTAGTACATTTTTAATGGAGAGATTTCTAACTGGTTGTTCCCTATTAAGCTTGCTTGCATTTCTCTTTCCAGTTTTGTCACTTAAAATACAAGTTAGCAGTGGTTAGGAAATTCCTGCTTTTTGATTGCCTTGTTTATTATATGCTTATGAAATGTACTCTAGAATATAATTTATTTTTCTCCTTTGCTTCCACAACTAATTCACCTTCAGAATTTCATTTCACATTCTGCTTGCAGACATTCATTCTCATACTGAAGCTTCTGCTTACTCTTCATTTTCTACTTTGCTTTTGTACCAAGCAGAAAACACACAAATATGATGTGGACCAACCAGCTGATGTTCTGTTTAAACAGTACTATTTATACTTAGTTGTTCTACATGCTATGCCTACCAAAAAGTCTTCAGTCTCTGTTAATATCTGCTTGATTGTTTCTGTGATACAATTTTGGCTAAAATTCCAGAAAGAATTTATATGTTTGTAACCCTTACTTTGTAAGGGTTGTAACAGATAGCTGAGTATTTACTGAGAGGTAGTTAAGTGTTGAGAAGCAATGTAATAATAAAATTGCAGTGAACTATTGTTATTGCTTCGTTAATCAAACAAAACTAGAAGGTGATGTGGACATGTACACACCTTACTGCTTGGTTCTTTCTTTAGTGAAAGATTTCTTTTTGTATACAATAACAGCATGTAATTTTCTTTGACATCAACAAACTTGGGGCGTAGCATTAAATGGTGGTGGGAATCAACCTTTGAATTTTTGTTAGTTCAGCCAATTTTGCTTACTGATGCTGTTACTCTTAAATACAGCTTTGTATGTGTTTTAAAGGAAACTGAAGGTAAAGAAAGAAACTTGTTCTGGTATTGTTAATACCAAAATTTGTATCAGAATTATTTGTCACTTTTTTTTTCCCCAAAATTTGCAAGGGAAGCATTACATTTGATCTAAGGATATTTTTCATAACAAAACTGTGAAATGTTAAACCTCTAAATTATTATATCTTCTTCAGTATTAACCTTATCACAATGGAAGAACACTGATATTGTGATGTGTTTCTTTTCCTTCCATCTGCACTACTAGTGTGACTTTCTTATTCTTTCAAGTATAGGAGCTAAACAAAGAATCACCATGATGTGAACATATTTAGTCATCTTTGTGTACTGGTTTTTTTTTCTAAAAATTAGTGCAGAAGAGCAAGTTTTCAAATCTACCACTGTTACCACAATTTCTATTTTTATCTGCATGTAAAATGTATTATATGGAGGAACTGAGGGCATGGAAATTATTGTATACGTGCAGTCAGAAACACAGAGTAGACTAACACAGTGCAGTCACAGTATTTTGCACAATCCCTGCAGAAGAAATACCTTGAGTAGGCAGCATAACTGCTCTGTTACGAATTCCAATCAAAAATGTTCTCAGGTTAAGAGAAGAATCCCACATTATTGTGTGTTAGGATCCCAACCAAAAAAGAATTATACATGTTCAGCATTTTATTTTTCAAAGTGATTTTCAAAGCAGGAAAAACTCAGAGCAGAGTGTTTTACAATATCCTTTCAGCTAGTTAGTAAGCTAACTATTGCTTATTGGAAGTATATTTGCAGTTGATGTCAACCCTGCTTTGGACCTTTTCGCTTAAGTGCATTACAGAAAGAAATGTGTTTTTTGACATATATGTTGAAACACGTAAAATCCTTGCCTTTCAAGGAAATTTATGGTAGGTTCATTCGATTTCTGTATACTGCTTTGAAGAACCAATGATGATGAAACACTCCTTGACAACCCAGGAAAAGTTAATTTGCAGTGCTCCCTATGGAAGGCTTTCTGGGTAAAATATGCTATTGTTTAAAATGTGCTTCTCTGTACAATTGTTGTCTTTATCGCAACTAATTAGTAATTAGCATAATTCTATGCATAGGCAATTTTTGCCTGAGTGAGCATTGATATTTATATTCAAAGAACAATCCAGTTAAAAATGGGTAAGCTAAAATATTTCCCTTGCAGCTTAGCAACCTGATCCAGTTACTATTTTTTCCTCACTTATTGTTATAGTTAGCATTTTTTTTTTTTAAATTGACATAAGTCAGGATAAAGATGCTTTGAAATTATAAACAGATTAATCAGGATGTGAAGGTTAAATGTAAACATTATCCAGTACAGTGACCTCCACAGCTTTAGTTGTAGAAATTGACCTAGAATTCCTTTACATACTTTGTCATTTACTTAAACTGGATTTTTGTCTAGCTGAAAATAATAGAAATCTGTAACATAGTTTACATCCCCACAGGTGGTGTTCCTCCTTGCTTGCACGCTTTCTGTGCTCCAAAATTTGGGGCTCATTTACCCACTTCTCCAAATTCACTCGTGTCTCACTTACATAATCACAAGGTTGGAAAGGGCCTACAAGATCATCTAGTCCAACCGTCCTCCCACTACTGTTGCTACCATAAGCCACTAAACCAGATCTTGCAGCTTCTCATCCAGACGCCTCTTGAACCCTGCCAGGGACGACGACTCCACCACCTCCCTGGGCAGCCATTCCAGTGCCTGACCACTCTCTGAGAGAAAAAGTTATTCCTTATGTCTAATCTAAATCTTCCCTGGCGCAACTTGCGGCTGTTTCCTTAGGTCCTGTTTGTTGCCTGGGAGAAGAGGCCAAACCCCTCCTCATAACAACCTCCCTTCAGGAAGTTGTAGAGTGCACTAAGAGCAACGTTGAGGAAATCAGCCTCAATGTTGGCATCACTCAGCTGGGGAAAGTTTCCTCTACTAGGTGGGAGAAAGGACTGCTGTAGTCCTGCCTCTTAAAGCATTGTATTGGTGAGCAGCAATTTTGGATATGTTTGATTTTCTTTTTCTTTTTCTTTTTCTTTTTTTTTTTCTGTAACCTGAAATGCTCCTGCTCATAATAGCAGTTGTAGTTCTTAAAGAAAAGAAAGTTCCACCTCAAGACTCAGATAAGCAGTATATCTAGCTTAACCACTGTTTTTGGTGAAGGGAAATCTGCTCATAGAAATAATGTTGCTTGATTAGATCCCAGAAACATTAATGGTTAAGGGGTAAAGCAAAGTCCATCTTCCTGAATACATATCCTGGGCTGAAGAATCTGCACAGATCCATTTTAATCAGTGTGCTTTTGGCTGAGTTTCCATGAAAGGTTTTTGCTTGAGAAAGAACGATCAAGTAAGGGAATCATTTATTGTCCTTATCCTCTAGTACAAGCCTTGAGTGATTTGTTTTTCTCCTTATCTCATGCACATGCACAAGTCAAGCCACAGAAAGGGAAAATACAGAGGAGCAAATCTGGAAAAACAATGGCATGATAAATATGGAAACAATTACTGGGTGATGAGCTATCGCCATCCTGAGTGTCTGAGTGACTAACAAAGAGGAAGCCTGCATCCAGGTTGTTTCTCCCAAGCCAACAAAAGAAAATAACCTGGTAAACAGTTGAATAATTTCCATATGTTTTGATAGACAATGAGTTATGGAATTGACATTTTACTCCAGTGTTCAGGAGATCCTGACCCAAAACCATCATGTTTTTTATGTCCTTATGCCACATTTGGGGCACTTCTCTGCTTGGTCATAACAAGAAAGAAGAATGTCTTCATTATGTTTAAAACAAATAATAGATTACTGATTTCAGTTTAAATTAAGAATATTTTCCAAATTTGAAATTGCCAGTAAAAAATGAATTTTACTGATATTTCTGTATGTTTTATTTTCTCTACAGATGATTCAGACCATCCGGACTCTAGTTGAAAATGCAGATAGCTTATATGAAAGGATAGTACAATGTCAGAAAGCGGGTGAGTGCACACTGTCTTTTAAAACTATTATAAAGAATTTATGACATTTTTCTTTATTTCCCAAAACTTTTGATTTATTTATTCAGCTATAGCACAAATATATATGTGTATTAGTTTACAGTAGTATACAGCAACAGTGAAAAGGATATTTCAAATAGTAGAAATGAAACAGCTGTAAAATTACAACTTATCTTTGGAAATCATAAATGTTTTATATGTGGACAGTACCTTGTCTTTATATTCATTTGCACACGCAATATATTCAAGTTCAGGCACACGATTACAGGAAAAAAAATGATGCTCTTTCAGAGAATTCTTTTAATTGTGTACTAATACCTACTCTTCTACTATGTGAGAACTTTTTTTTTTGTCCTGGAAGTTTAATGTCTTCAGAATCCCTGGCAAAGTATCTTGTCTTCTGAAAATCACATAATAAACTATTATGTATATACTTTATTATGTGTATTAGTGTAGATATTTTGTCCCAGAGTTTCCATAGCTCTGTTAGATGAATATGCTCTAGTTCTGTGGATTTGTTACTTACCATATTGTCTGTTTAGAATAAAATAATTTTGTTTCAATTACATGCACCTTCTGTGGCAGTTTTTTCCTAGTCCATGGATGCACAAAATCTTTTTTAAAAAAACTTTGTTGCTATCTATGGTTCCCACCCACACATTCTCTGGAAGTTTTCCTGTTATTGATATATTTGAAACAGGTTGTATAGTCACTTTGTTCTTAGTCCTTTCACAAATTGTCCCCTTCTCACCTGATATGTTATAAAAATTTTCCATTTGGACACAAATATGAGTATTTAAGGCTACTACTTTATTTTGAATAGCGTCTCTGACTGCTGCTTAATCATACTGCTTTTCTTTTGATCACTCTCAAGTATTTTTTAAATAATTTGCTCAGAGTAATGGTGCATCTCATTCTGCATCAGAAACAGGAAATCTGCTAGAAAGTCAAAGTATCTGCAACCAGTAGTGTCATGCACAAATCAATTGGGACAAAGGCTTCTTATGTGCAAATACTTTTTTTTTTTCTATCTGATATTCAGCATTCTGCAGCAGCCATAGTCTTACATGGCTTACTTGCATTCTTTGGTCCCTTTCATTGCTGTCCACAAAATTTCAGTCTCTCTCTTTACAAACTCTTTTGTTAACAGGTGCCTTTCAACTCAGATGAGATGCAGGAAGGTGTACCCACTTTGAATTTCAGGATCTCCACTGTATTCTTAGTGTACACTCCTTAGACTCTGTGAACCTCAGCCAAACCATAGAACTGTCAAAATACTTGAGAAATTTACCTTGTCCTATTTACTTTAAATGGTCAAATATAAATAATCATAAACAACATGAGTGACAAAAATATTATTATATCTTGTTGGTACTGTGCCATATTTTTTAGCTACAGTGCTGTGTTAGACAACTTAGTTCCTTTGGTGAGATGCAAGGGAAAACCTTGTTGCCTACTATCCTCATGTTTTTAAGAGTTGTACCCTTTAGGAAAGATTGCTTGATACTAGGTCAATACAGGTTCCTGTAAACTTGCACTTGTCTGATCTTCCTGTATCTTACAACCTTACTTGATTTAAAGTGCAATTGGGTACAAGAACCCTTTGTTTAAGAAGGCTAAAGATTTAAAACCAGTGGTAAGCAGTGAAGAGAGATTTTGATCTCATTTAGATGAGAAACCTACAGCACAATGACATAAGCCTAAGTATGGATTATGTAATAGATGCTGCTATTTAGGGCATCTGCAGCCCTGCAGGGTCAGGGTATTTGTTAAGATGAATGAGCAGTATTAAATTACATTTAAATATCAATGATTGTAAAAGATTTTCTCAAGACTAATTGATCTCAGTAGATACTACTCTATTTAATTCTGAATTAAGGATTATACTTTTTCCAGTATAGTTTCTTGATAAGGAAAAAGAAAAATTATGTATTTGACAGTGATTTTTTTTGTTTGTTTGTTCTATGGGTCAAGTTGTGAAAAAAAATGGAAAAATTAAGAAGCAAAACTGATAAGTGGGAATAAGCAGTAGGGTTATATTAACAGGCTTATTAGAGAAATCTGTCAAACTTTCTCTGTTAAACCATTTTCTGGCTTAACTTTAATGATAAGACTTTGACCCTCTTTTAAAGTTCAAAACTAATTTTGAAGTAACTGCAATATTATTTCTTCAGTTGGTAGCCTTTAGAGAATAAGCAAAGATATGATTCTTCCTATGACTTTTTTTTCTGATTTTTTTCGGAATTCAGATTGTTTGCAGTTAATATTCTTCAGGAACATGAAAACATTTGTTAAACTTTTGTTCTTCTCTCGGTTTTTAAAAATTAATCCATATCAAAGAGCTTTTCCAGTTTCTTCATACCAGCATATTAATTTCAGCTCAGTACATTCAATTCTTAATTATTTATTGAAAGCATTTTAGGTACAACAACTAGCGAAAATATATGAAGAAAAAGATAGACTTACTTTAAAATGGTTTAATCAACATTTATTTTGTTGCTACTAAGTCAGCTGAATGTACCACAAGAAAATAAAGTGTAGGTGCCAAAGGGAGTTTAAAGATAATTCACTCTATACCTTTAATCTTTTACAAGACCTAAAATGCTACTATATCCTTTCTGGAATAAAGAATTCGAATGTCCAGATCATCTTATCCCATCCCTGTCCTCCTTTATATTCTTCCACTTTTTTTGAATCACTAGTTGCACTTAATTCAAATGCTGTCTGAATTAATCAGTGGGTAAAAGAGAGAACCAAAGCTTAGGTTGTATTTTGGTGTTCAGAGGCAAAAGCTCAGCAGTACACTTGGTATCCCACGTGTTCATTAAATGATCAGCAGCAAATCATGAGTGAACACAGTTTGCTGGTGACGAAGAATTGTTGAGTGTACTCAAATCTAGATTGGACTGTGAAACAGTACGGTGGGATCTTGTGACATTAAGCAGTGAATTGAATTAAACAGTGTGTGAAATGTAACATCAATAAGTTAAATTAATGTGCACATGGAAGAAAATAGCTGTGTCAATACCTGAAAGAAATGCATTTAAGTTTACTGTTTTAATTCAGGAAATGGAGTTCTCCAGCACTGCATGCTGATCATTCAGATCTCTCTTTTTTCCTGTATGATTTTAGAAGTATAGTTTTCCCTAGTTATCTGTGCAGCCAGAACTCTTGTTCAGGTTCTAATCTTCTGAGAGTTTGACACCCCTGTCCTTTTCTCTGAGCTTGACCATTTTAATTTTACCTTCCTGACACCATTTTCCTGCTCTCATTTCGATAATGTTTCTCCCAATATTCATCTCTCTACTTTTTCCTTATTCTACACTGGCTGAGCTCCTTTTACTTTTCTTGCATTTGCTCATCTGGTAACAAGAATTTCCATTGTCTGATAGCTGGTGAGCCATCATCCTGCTATCTATCATGTTGCCCCACATACTCACTGTAAACATCCACAGGGCTGCTTCCTCTGAATTGATTTTTAAAATTCTCCTACAAATATAGCTGGATTGACACATGTCCTCCTACTACCTTAACAAAAATAGCTTTCGTTGCTTCCTTGCACTCATTCCTCTTTCTTTGCCCATCTGTTATCGTTTTTCCTTATGGTTAGATTCCAGGTTGTTGGAGCAAGAACTGTCTCATTTATTCCATCTGTACAGTGACAAAACCAGCAGGGACTTGGGTTATTAAACAATGCAGGTAGTAAAAGACAGAAAATGAGTACATGTTTTAATATGTACTCCAAAGCAGTATCAGAACAGGATACTATTTGAAGAAGATCCAGCATGCAGCAAATGCCATGATAATGACCATACTGCAAATTCTTCTTGAAGTTGAAAACTAAAATAATAAAATTCATTTTGTTTTAATAGCTTTTCAGAAAAACTGTATGTTTACAGAGCTGTTTAATATTTCTTTCCATTATTTGTAGTCTAAATTGGTTTTAGACTTAGGATCCATTATAACAAAGCATGTAAGATGCAGAAAAAATAATATTGTACATTATATGCTATGTACATACTAGGTAATCCACTAATAGAGGAAAATAAATGATTATAATTAAATATTGAGGAGCACTTTTGACTAAATATATAGACAGGCAGTTGAGATCTTTTTAACCAATGAAAGAGAGTGACTAGAACAGTTTTTCCCAACATTTTTGCAGTTAACTCTGATTTGGAAGAGAATTTGCAGTTTCTTGACATGATATCATATGATTTACACAGATCTGTCAGAGTTTATTAATCTGTACCTTCTGAAGTAATGTCTTTCATCAATAAGTCTTGATTTCTGATCAGAAGCTACAGCAACTAACGTTGGCTTCATATGTGGGCTACTGAAAAAATGCTACTTTATATATTACATTTGTACTCCCTAAGAGAACAATATTTAATGTGTTTGCATCAGTAGTCTGTACTGATCTTCAAGTTAAAACTTAGAATTGGATCCTTTTGTGTGTTTTTCATGAGGTTCACTTTTAAAAGTAAAACATCTACAGTATTTACACCCAGTGCCTAAACTCCAACGTCCATTAGACTAAAATAGCACTCTGAGGCCTCTTTAATTCTGTTTCCATTCTTCTGAAATACCTGCTTTTCTTCACTTTTTCCTTTTTCCCATTTTTTAATAGGCCAGCTATCAAATAGTTTTATACTCTGCAGTTATTTAATCCTGTCTGTCTCTCTTGTGCCTTGAATATTTTTGAATCCACATTCCACCATGGAGGGGAAACATGAAGAAATAGGTGTGGAATAACCACCGTGGATGGTGTTTTTTATGATAAATTGATGTATAACAGAACTTTTGGTGTTGCAGGGGGCCTCTGGAGATCATCTAGTCCAACTTCCCTGCTTTAGGCAAGTTCCCTAGAGTAGGTTACACGGGAAAGCGGTTTTTAAAATCTCCAGAGGAGGCTTCTCAGCCTCTCTGGGCAGCTCATCCCAGTACTCTGTCACCCTCAAAGTAAAGTTATTTCTCATATT